CTCTCAACTCTGCATTTCAACCATCAATTCCTACTATCAACAGGTTTCAAATCAATCTCTTTTTCTTCTTCTTCTTCTGTTTGTTCAAAACCCTTTCGATTTTCTCAATGAAGGTTCTCAGCTACGGTAGAGAGAGGCGTGTGATTCTGGAATCAGTAACCCATGATAACTACTGTGTGTTGGCCAACACCTTAGCAGCTCATTTCATTTCCTCCTCTGATTCTTCTCGTGCTTCATATTTGCTTCTCACCGCTAAGTCTCATCTTGTATGTGTATCTATCCTCTCATTACTTCTTACAATTCAGTTTTTCAGTTTTGTTGAATCACGCAATTAAGCTATTCATTTGAGATCACATTACTTGAATTACACATTAACATAATCAATTTTGAAAAATATCTGATTTTAGATGTTATTACAGACTCGTTATATAATGTTAGGGTTAAATGTAGTTATAAGTTGGTTAGTGTTAGTTACTAATTAGTTAAAAGTTTGTTAGATTAATTAAGATCAAAATTTGAGGGAGTAAAATCATAGATTGGAGAAAATAAAGAAGAAAGAGTACAACTCAAGAAAATTCATACATGATTAGGATTTTGATGTTACAGGAACATGCAACCTTGTACGAGAAACTAGTTTTCAATGCCATCAGTTATTTGATGTCTGAAGATAGAGACGATGATGTAGCCGTTGAGTTGCATTCTAAGGTAAGTAACTTTGGTGAGTAGGCATGGCAACAGAGCGGGGCGGGGCGGGTTTAAGCGTTACCAGCCTTGCTCTGTTGTCATGCCTACTCAGCACAGTCAAGTAGGCATGTCTGCACTATGGTTTGAGATTCATCGATGTTTATACTCAAATTTTTTTAATTAACAATACTTGTTTGTGTTTGAAGCTTCTAAAGGAGTTCCCAAGAGATTTGGTTTCTCTAAAGAGAGCACAGGTCTTGTGCTTCTACATGGGTCGGCCCGATCTTTCTTTATCCCTTGTTAATCAGGTTCCTTTTCAATTGAACAACATTTTTCTTTCATTTCTTCTATTGTTTGTACAAACATATATCAAATTTTCCTACAGTTTTTACTAGTAAAAAAAACTTTGTATCTTGTGGGTTGTTTAAAAAAATAGTCAAAATGTTATGATAAAATAGAAAATTCTTGCACAAATTGTATTATTTTCGCTTCCTTTGGGTGTGTTGCATCAAGAAGTGGAGCAGAGATTTGGAATTTGAGATAATTTTGATGCCTAGATTTGTTTCACCGAGATTTATTATTTATGTTTAATCATAGATTCATAATTTCTCTTAACCTGTCCTAATCATCTCTCATTCTGGTTATCAAAACAAAATATAACTTGCTCCATATGATTTTCAGTTTGACTTATTTATCTTTGTGGTTCATATTAATTATTACTGTTATTGATAAAATGTATGAGTACCTTACCTTCTAAGTCTTACAGGTTCTACCTCAAAACGAAGGAGAAAGTTACGTATATGGCATGCTTGCATTTCCTTTGTTGGAGCTTGGACGAATGAAAGACGCTGAGATAGCTGCCAAAAGAGGATTCAAAATCAACAACCAAGACGGCTGGTCACAGCATGCTGTAGGTCAATGTATTTGTCAAAAATTGGAAATGTCCTCTCTACCTTTATGGAACTGAAATTGTCTCTGAAATGTATTGCGACAAATTCTTTTTTATAATTTATGACTTCAATAGTTGATGTAAAAATGGTTGAAATTTGTTATACAGTTATGCCATGTTCTTCAGTACGAGTGCCGTTTTAGAGAAGCTGTTAAGTTCATGGAAGAATGTTCATCATCATGGAGTTCTTACTCATCTTTTATGTAAGCATTTTATTCATTTGACCATGGCATTGTCTCATTTTGTATTAAATTATTAATCAGCCGAAGAGTACCCATTCTTTCAGGTTGACACACAATTGGTGGCATGTAGCACTTTGTTACTTAGAAGGCAATGCTCCAATGCAAAGCGTGCTCGAGGTATATGACAATTATATATGGAAGGAGTTAGACAAAACCGATGCAGCGGTTCCTGAGGTAAACAATTTTATTAACTTTGTTACTACTAATAGTTTCTCGCTTTCCTTCCTTCGTAGTGAACAACCTCATTTGAACATAGGTTTACTTAAATGCTGTGGCTCTGCTTTTGCGGATTTGCATCCGTGATGAATTGGACTTTTTTGGTGATAGGCTCCAGAAGCTTGCAGATTGCCTAGCTGTTCAAGTAAGTTATGGTTCACAGTGAATGATACATCATCAATGGAAATGGTCATTTGGCAAGATGTTTCATTATGCAACTTGAAATGTTCATTTAAATTCTCAACCCTCGCACTCGTTGGTTAGAGTCGATCTTTAAATGCATTCTCTTCCAATGTATTGAAAATCAGCCGAGCATTAAACTAGTGATACTTCCAGTACTCAATTTGGACAGAAAAACAGTGATTACTATAATGTGAATTTGGGACACAGTACAGAGAAGACAAGTTACCGAATAACCCTAAAATAGAAAAACAAATATATTTAACAAAATCAAACTATTTGAGTTCATAAACTTATAATTTTCAAGAGAAAATGCACGTTAAATCTAAAAATGTAAGTTCCAATAAAATAACATTATTTTCTTGTAATTTGAGTCAAGTCTAACTCAATTCTTATAGAATAGGCATGAAAGGTGAAGTAGGCTTCTCACTTATAAACACACTTTTAAGCCTCGTCTGATCTATGTGGGGCTCTCAATAGTCAACACTAGTGTGTGACCTGATAGCAGGTGGTCCAATGAATCGTCGAGAGACTCTGATGCCATTTTATTATTTGAGTTCGAACTAACTTAACTCTTACAAAACTGGTTTGTAAGGAGAGAGATGTCTCCCATTTATTAACACATTTCCAGACCTTATCTCATTTAATGTGGGACTCTCAACACGTTTCATGCTTCTTTATGATGATTTTGATGCAGCTTCTGTACAATATATACTTTGTATTATGTGGGGAAAACTTGAGCTCGTTTTTCAGTTTTAGGATATTAACACAAAATGTTTTTTCTTAAATTCTTGTATGTATCCTATGTTTAGGCAAACTGGTATTTAGAGTGGCACCTTGATGTATTGACAGTTTGGGCTTTGGCAAAGACTGAACATGTTTCTAAAGCAGAAGATCTTCTCAAGGGTTTAAGAGACAGGTTGAAGTGTTATATTTACAGAAAGTGCTTTAGATGCAGTATGGTATCAATTGTAATAACATGTTATCTTACTGTAGGATTTTGAGAATGACTAAAAAGAAGCAACAAATAATGCAGAAAGGAATGATGGTATGCTTCAGCTGCCACTTCGGTGATTATATGAAAAACGACTACCATACTATGCTTAATCGATTAGTTAGCCGTCATCTGTTACATACAACCTTAACTAGTAATGTTACTAAAAATACAAGAGTCTTAGACAAAGGGTCTGTTTGGATCGACTTAATTAAGCTGATTTACAGCCATATGTACTCATGTAACTGTTTGTTAGGGTGTATGAAAACAACTTATGATATGTCCATAAGTAGTTTTCAACTTATTTACTTAAGTTCTCTACATATAGATATGAAAACAATTTATAGTTTATATTAAATCAGTTTGATTCTTTTTTTATTAAAATAGTTTATAGATAAGCACTTATACGATAAACATTTATACTGTAAGCGTTTAATTAACCTGTTAATCCAAACAGGTCCTAGATGTGAGAAGCAATTAGCACATACACGATATCTATATTTTGAATTTTCTTGGTTAAAGTTCTTGTCTCCAATTCTTTATTTCAACCTAGCTTGCAGAAGCACTCTTTGCATATGGAAGAGGTGACTACAGACATGGACTGGAATTACTTGGTCCAGATTTTGATGCCAATGATTGCAAGGTTATATTAATTAAACTTCTTCAATCTTCACTATAGTGTCTTCACTTCTTTCTTTTTTGGGATTTAATAATGTAAATCATGGTTATGTGAAGATAATTGGTGCATCAAATGAACAAGTTGACGTATTCAACGAAGTTTGGTACATCATGTTATTGAACAGCGGAGACGCAATGAAGGGTAAAATCTCAAACTTTTTGTTCAATTTTTCAAACCCATCATCAGCCATCTTCAATTGTGATGAATTTTAACCCAGCAATTGAAGCAATTGAGAAGCAAATCGAGAAGAGAGACGGTGCTGCTTTCTTATGGCGTTTGCTGGTATGTCTTGAAGTTTTATTGAGAAGTGTATTTTATGATTGTATGATAACAGGGCTGTCTTTGAAGGCGGGCTACCACACATGAACCAAAATTTAACATGGTTTATCCGTGACTAAATATGGTTTCATAAAATATTTGTCATAGTTTAACTGACATATTTGATTTGTCACGGTTGAATCATGACTAACAAACACATGACCTCCAAAAACTTAAGATGACTCTATAAAATATTATGATATGATATAGTATCTCCTATATAAGACACTATATTTATTGTTCACTAATTATTATTGTTGTTGCTCATCTTTCTTTCTTGTTTTCAGGAGAGAGGATATAAACTTGCAGAGAGACCAGAAGCTGGAATTGCAAACGAGAAAGCCAAAGGTTATGAGAGTGCTTATTTTAATTAAGAGGATAAATCAGAATCAAATCATATACAGTTCTATGTGAATGCATAAGCTACCAATGCAAAAGGAAGTCCTGAGCATGGTATTATTAATGAATAAATGTAACTATAGCATAAAAGATAAATAAATGCAACTCATGAGTCATGACAATGACTATGAGGCTTTGCTTGTGGTTGGTTGGGAGGTGCCAACTTTTGATTCTATGAATGAAAAATATGCGTTGATATAGTTGGACGCTTTTAGAAATTGTATTTACATAAAGTTGTAGAGTGGAGACAATGGAGCAGTACTTGATTTTCTCTGAAAGTAGAAACTGTTTTTTGTTCATAAATAGTTAATGATGGACCACTTTGATGGTTTATAAAATATGTATTTGGTGCCCCATGTGAACTTGTTTTGTGGTTTTGTGCAATTTGGAATTGACTCATTGGACAATGTTGGGGAGGAAACAAAGTTTGCAGCGAAAAGGAAAGTGGGTCATCATGGGTATTTGAATTTGAGCGGAAATCACGGAAAAGATACGGGTGGAGGAGAAGTTGTCATTATTTGTGGCTTGACGTCGTTCTCAGAAAAAGCTTATTTAGAAGACTTTTACTGGCCAACTTGGCCAAACAACTTAGACCTTATATTCTACATTTCCTCTTGCAATTCATCATGGATCATAGGACCAATAACTTCCAAATGTGAAACAGAAAGATTCATCATAGGATCAATAACTTCCAAATGTGAAACAGAAAGGACACGAGGTAGTCTCTATCATTCCTACGTAGTACCGATATCTCTGAAAACAGACGTGTCCGTGTCGGTGTTGGACATTTGCATCGACACTTGTAATTTCGTTTAAATTTTCTACTTGTTCAAATTATTATTGGTGTCAATGTGTTACTGTCGGGGTTGTATTCGAGGTGTTCATGCCTCATAGTTCCTTATCTTGTTTTCTGACATAAATAAATTTATCTAATATATCATTATATATATAGTTTGAGTAATACAAGTAGGCATCAATTCAAATGGTTGGTTTTCTCAAAAATCTATCGTTGAAAAAAGATGTACACAATTTACATAATACAAGCTTTACAAGGTTTACAAATTGACCGAGCTTCATTGGTCCTATATGAGTGGAGTAACAATGGTAAAGATGGTAACAGTGAAGTGCGCTTACAAAGAGAATTATAAACATCTTTTAGCGGATTGTAAAAGAAACTAAATTATCATGTTAAAAGTTAAAAATAAACAAGTTGTAATTCGAAGAGACGAGTTAATTGATCTCATCTTACAAGCATTTTGAACTAAGTACAAGACTCGAAAACATCTTTAAAACCCTAATGGGACTCTAAAGCTCTATGAGGTATTCACTAGAATCCTAAAGGGACTCTAAAACTCTACAAGGTATCCGTCAAAACCCCAGTGAGACTCTAAGCCCTTTAGGGTATCTATTTGAACCATAATGACTCTGAAGTCCTCCAGAGTATCTCCCAAAATCCTAATGGAACTCTGAAACCCTATAAGGTACACACCAAAATTATATGGGGACCCTAAACCTACTAGTGCATACAAACTATCAAAACGAATATAAGAAAAACTCATAATCAACTTAAACAAAATGACAAACAACAATGGTAAAAGCATAACTCAAAATCCTTAATTAAGAGTTTAGAAATTACAAATAAAAAGGACCTAAACAATAGGGTGAGATTACTCAAACGAACACAAAGTCAAAAGCCCGACCACAAGGGAGAGCCCACCCTTGAAGGATGAATGATCTCACTAAAGGCACTTCACCCTTACACGCCTTGTGCTTGAGGGACTGTATATCAACATGTCTCTATTGACTCATGTCCATCCACTATACATAGGAGTTTAGACAATATTCAAAACAAACAAGACAATTAATGAAAATACATGGATGTATGACTTCTTAACCTATCTCATAAAAGCATCTTGCCCCCATGCAACTCATGCTTAAGGGGATGTGCACATGTTCGACTTCTCATTAGGACTTAGGAAAGAATTTCACCCTTACGTGTCTAATGTTTGGAGGACTATGTACCTCTGATCCTATTTTGAATAGGTGGACTTATATAGCACAATAAAGAGCACAAAATAAGGAGTATGTATGAATGTAGGGCGAACTGTCAAAGCCCTCAAAAGTACCAAGGGATCTCCCAAAGAACCTAAGGCTCGCTCGAAGTATCAAGAACACAGACAAGAGTATCAAGAACATGCCCTAGGTTTATAATATGTTCGTATAGTGGGGTCGGATAAACCCGTTTCATGGATCAGATGGAACTTTGCAATCCAAAACTAGTGCAAGAGGAATATTTTAGAGGGTGTTAGGCAATCAATATACTTTAGCCATACACACTCCAAGGCCGCCATATCCAAAAAATCTAGAGTAAGCTCGCCCAAGAAGGATCGTTCATTAAGGCACATCGGACAATCGTTAACCAATCTCAAAATCTTTTTCCCCCTATGTGACTCATGCTTTATGGGGTTTAATACATGTGTACCTTTTTAGTTTCTTGTTAGACAACGCATGCTTGAGGTGATGTGTACTTGTCTAGTTTCTTAGGAGGTGTTACCTTGAAAGGACCAAATACAACTGATACCCAAATGGACTTTTCTCCGATTGATGACTTGTCTAGAAGAATAAGCTCGAGATGAAACTATTGATGTGCCAAGTTGTTCATAGCATCTCAAGGCTAACACGCGATAATATTTGATTGAGATACAATAAAGGATGTATTTATGAATAATTGAGAACATTATGGCCTAGAATTTAGGTAATCGAGCTTGATTCTCAATCAACATTAAGAGATCATACAAATTAGAGGAAATCACATTAAATTTACTCTTATGGGATTTACGTTTAAGATAAGTTAGCATTGATATATGAGGAGATGACCGCTAGGAGAAAAGATATGCACAATTTATAGAATACATAATTCACATATCATCTGAGCTTCATTGGTCATACACCATTGGAGTAATAATGGTGTACCTTTACAAATACAATAACAAAGGTAAATATGTTATTGTTTTAGCTCAAACAAAATTCCCATCATGATTTATTACATGACTGTATCCATATTATTATTATCCATAAGCCGCACATACACATTAAATTTAAGCTTACCAAAAGGAGGTGTTACGAATTGGAACCAAATATAGGTGAATATTGAGTGGAAGAGATTTTTGATGCAGTGAAGTGAGCTTTTGGCACGCCGAAACAGGAGTGGATCTGCAAGGTTAGCACTCCCACACAAAAGTTACTCAATGACTGAGAAAGTAGTAGGATTATATGAATGAGAGAATACCTAAAATAATGTGTGTTAGACTTTATACAGTATGAGCAATTGATATCTTCCCCGAGGGATATGTTGCCATATGTGGATTATCATCGGATCAGATTTAATGGTGGGAAATGCACTGGAGGCGAGAATCACTTGTCTTCAATTAGGGTGAAGTCTCACTTGTTCCACTTGTTGTTTTGTGCGATGCTTGTTGTTGGGCCTTTCATTATTAACATGGTAAAAGGTCTAGAACAAATGCCCTCAAGTCCTTGTTCTTACACATAGAGAGAGAGAACTTGTAATGCATGCCTTCAATCAGACCTCTAGTGGAAGGAAGAGCAAGACTCTTTATGGGACATTAATAACATTGAGATCATGCTCATTAAATATCTCCCTTGTGACTAGCCAACATTTTGCAAGGTGACATCGGCGTATGACCCTATGTCTAATAGCAATGATTTTTTTATTTGTCTTAAGGTATTTAAGTTTTCTTAATAAACTGAGGAAAGATCTGAATTGTCAGTGGTTCACACTTTCCAAAGTCTACCATTATGGATCGTACAGTCGTCTTCTCTTGAGAATATATGAGGATTTCTAAGGTTACCATCTCCTTTTTTGTCATGCATGAGTTTTGATGGATCTTCTTATGTGTTTCTGACTTCTTTCATCTTCATTAATATCATGTGGTTGGCTACCATTCAGATACATTTGCATCCCCTCCTCCGACGAATCATAAAATGTGTGAATCAGTAAGTTCACCTTCTTCAAGCTAAACTTCAAAACCTTTTTTCTTCTATATTTATTTGCATTTCTAGAGTTAATGATGGAAAAATATCTACTCGTAGTTTAAGTAAATGATGTTGTTCTTATCAAAGATGATAACATTGAAATGGCAAGAGTGAAAAAAAACTAGTTTCATGTTTTGAAATAAAAGATTTATGATCCTTGAGATACTTTCTTGGTAAGAAGGTTGCGATACCAAAAACGAATTTGCACTATTGCAACAAAATGTATCCTAGATTTTTTGAAAGAAATAAGGATGAGAGGTTGTCGACAAAATATACTCCCATGGACCTTAACACATAACTTTGGAAAGAAAAAGGATATTTATGTCGATACTAGAATATAAAAGATTAGTTGATAAACTAATATATGTATCACATACATGACTTGACATTGTCTTCTTAGCCAATTAAGTAAGTCTATACATTCTCCTTTTGAGGAAGATCTTGAAGGAGTTTACATAATCTTGATACTTGATGAAAAATTCTAGAAAGAGGTAATTTTTTAAAGAAAACTAGTAAAATAGTGTCTATTTATTGTCTAGTGTTGTTTGAGCTTACTCGGTCACAAATAAAAAATCCATCTCTGACTGTTGTAACTATTATGTATTAAGTTTGTGATTTGGAAGATTAAAAAAAGTGATAGCAAAAAGTGGTGTTGAAGTTGAGTTTAGAATCAAGATGCAAAGTATTTGTGAATGACTATCTCAAGATATTTGTAAATGATTATTGTTCTGGACTGGGCCCATCCTGGCCCAAGAGCAAGAACGAAGGCCCAATCCAAGCAACTCTTCAAGGAGCGCGCGCCCGAAGATTCCCGCCAGCGCATCGACCAGAAGCTGCAGCCGTGCCCACCGCTGCCCGCAAACATGATGTCCTCGACCACATGAAATCCAGCTCGAGCCCAGCTCGAGCATCCTCCTCGTAGGGCAGACTATGACCGTTACTCTGGAAAGATCGCATCCTCGTCCCTCCGTACTTCTCGCAGAGCATCACCAGAAAGGGGACCACATGCGGGTCCCCACTACACACGTAGAACCTGGCAGTTCCTTTATTGGGCCAGTCCTGGTCGGCCCAATGAAGGGACCTTGGCCCCGCGCTGGGGACTATAAATACCCTCTATTTCTAGAGGGTCAGGTATCCATTCTTTTACCCATACACATACTTTTTTGCCTGCTCGTACCATCACTCACTTCAGCATCGGAGTGCCTTGCAGGTACCCCCCCCCATCTCGTTCAACTTTCGCTCGGAGCCAGTCGTGACGGTCCAAGTCTGATCCGGTAAGATCAGTGGCGCCGTCTGTGGGAATCTAGCTTCCCCGTCTTGCAAAACCTCGAAGACCAAAGCTCAAATCACCTCCTACCGTCATGGCTGACCAAGTTCGTGATGACCAAAAGGTCTGCATCGTCGACACCAACAACGGCCTCGCAGACAAAAATGGACTCCAAGACAACACCGGTAACCCCGGTCATAACACACTCCCCAGGGGAACCGCCCCCGGGCCCTCAATCCACCACGACGGAGCTACTTCCTCATCCTCCTCAGTCCCTCCGCCGCTCGAAGAAGACGACGCAACTCCCACTAACTATCGAGCTGCCCAATTTCAAGAAGTCCCTGTCCCCGCCGGGGCAGATGCCACAACCCGCGCGTTGTTCCCGGCGATCAATCAGACGAATTACCTCATCTTCGCCCAGGGGGAAAGATTGAGGGCACTAGAAGACGATCGAAGACCTGCGAGGAGACACAGAAGGCCCCAAACTCCACCTCCT